TGATGTCTTCATTTAAACACCAACATCCACGATATCACTATGTGGTTGTTTAGGCAGTACACGATGACAGGGGATTCCTTTGGGGGACTGGGCAAGATGTTCTTGTCTTGCAGACTGCTATTACGGCAAATATACAGTATATATATATTTTTTTTTCTTGTCTCCAATCTACTCTCCCAATGTACTTTTTCAGTCTGTCTGACACATCTTGTCTTGGGCAGAAATATTTAGACTGCAGCTTTTAACAATGTTGATAAGTATATAGGAAATTAAAAAAGCTTTCGCAGACTAAACAATGGATTTCTCCATATTAAAAATATATTATGGGGCCCATTTCTACTTTCAAATCAATGTTGACTGCCTACTCTTAAATTGAAAGCCAGTATCGTGGATAAACAGCAACACTGGTTGTGAGGACTTGAAGGAACTCTTTCAATGTTTGTGTGTTACATCTACCTTAACGGGGATTATTAGGACGATTACTGTGGTGGTAAAAATTATAACGATGATGAAGATGATCTAATTCTGAATCTTCTCACCACCTTGAACTGCCCCGCCGTACTCATCCCCTCCCCTCATGAGCTTACAAAGTGTTTTCTGGCTCTCTCTGCCACACTTCCATTGTCTGTGCAAGTTGTTTACTTGGCTGAGATGGTCTTGGGTGTTTTTCTTCTTCTCCACCAGGTGTCAGTCTTGTTCTGTGTTTTGGTCAGGAAAACAACTGTGGTATAAAATATGTATAATTTCAATAACTGGATGATGAATAAAAGCTCCCTTATTTATAGGATCTTTTTTTGAATTTCTGGAATGATGTAATCGGCTCTGACTGGGTTTAGGGTCCTGAAAAGTATTCAGCAATGTTCCTCATATTAAACCTGTAAAATTGCATGAGGGAATGGAAAACAAAACACTTAACAAGAGTGCCATGATTCTGAATTAACCAGCGCATAGCCTATTTGGGATTTTTTTTACGTTAAATTCATGTTGAGATGTGCAGAGTTACATGCTGCATTTAATCATTTTGACCTTCTTCTACAAAACAGAATGTTGAATCAAAATATGATTCATGTCTTTGATGCATTTCATGGCATTTTATTACCTCCGTCTCTATTGTGTCTGATATGGCCAACAGAAGTCTCTTTAAGCCTATGTGAGATGTAATAAATGTTGATGTATTTACACCAGGCTGACACCCATAATCATCCTTCTTGTTATATTGCCCCTAATAAGCCAATTCAGGGCACAATGTCATACATTTGGACGAGACAAAGATATTTCTCTATCCCATAAAGTCACACTGAAACCTACTTTATTCAATCCCTTTTTTTAAACAGACTACTTTTCTCTGAAATAAGCCCGCGCCTCTCTTCAGATTTTTGCAAACAGTGTGCTCAGGTAACATAATTGTGTTCTCTTTCTATAACCAGATGACCTGGAATCAAAGGCTGATGATGGGAACGCGGAGGACAAGACCCCCCAAGACCAGCCAGCTGAGGAGGTAGAAACAAGCAGCACTGAATATAATATACTGTTAGTGTAGCATGTAATGGCATCTTTGTAAAGAGGTGAAGGTGTACACTCGGTTTTGTAGCGCGTTACCCAAAGAATGATGATGAGTCTGCTCTAGTTTTGAAGATGCTGATTTTCATATTATTATCTATTTCACCTACTTTTACTTTGCTTTAAGATACATAATTCATATAAATATCACCCATAGTATGTTAGGCATATTGATTGACATGCCATTAAAAGGGTTTTGAAAATAATACAGAATGCTTTGGCTCCTCTTGATTTGTATAGCAAATAATAGCGATATCTCTTTCATTCAGGAAAGTGTATGTCACAGGGGGAATGATTGTAACAATGCAATTACATTGTATGCCTGTTTAAATATTTAGAGCCACAGTATAAATTGTTTCCGTGGTATTATTGCATTACAGAATTCTGCAGATGATGCTACAAAAGCCGCGGAGGATAATGGTGAAACGGCAGGAGATAAGGAGGAGGCTGTTGCTGAAAACACCACAGAAGAAGACCCTTCCACTAATAAAGATGAAATGAAGGAAAACCAGGAAAGAATTGGTGAAAAAGAAGGAGGGGAAGATAAGGAGGAAAATACCGAGCTAAATGAGGAAAAAGAGGGAGCAACAGCAGGATTTGAGGAGGAGGAGGAGGCGGTAAAAAAAGAAGTACAGGAGGTGGTCACAGATGAGAGTAAGGAGGAGGTTAAATGTGAGGAGCAGGGGTCCAGCAGTAGCAACAGTGATATGACCCAGGACAGTAAAGAGAAAGAGGATGGAGGCCATACATTGTCTGAGGGCGAAACAGATGAGCGAGACAGAAATATAGAAGAAGAGGAGCAAAATAAAGACAGTGAAAAGGGGGAGAAAAGCAGTGAGGACAAAGTTAATGATGAAGACATGGGGGACGAACAGAAAGAGACAGAAAACAGCAGTGACCAGGGAAAGACTCATTCAGATAACGAGACAAAAGAGAACGATAGCGGCAGAAATAGCAGTAGTGAAAGTAACCAGGATGAAGATGTGAGGAAAACAAAAGAGGGAGCTACCAAGGAGGCAGGAGAAGAAAAGAGAGACGTGAATGGAGAGGTCAGTGGAGGAGATGATGAAGTGGAAAGTGGAACAGAGCTGGACACTGTCGAGAATTCAGCCAAAGATGCCGCACCAAATGGAGAGAAAGGGGTGGATAATGATGAAGGTAATCAAGATAATAACAGGAAATAAGGATGAGGAAAGAAAAGAGAAAGTCGTTGGATGAGCGGTGCTGGAAATAGTAAGCAAGACTTTATGATACTATTTTAAAATAATGAAGGTGACAGAGCAAATAAAAAGTCTTACTCGACGGCCATGTAGAGTCGGCACTGAAAAGTAAACAGGGTCCCAAATGTCAAGAAAGCAATAGAAGCTTTGACAGCTTAATGATGTCAGCTACAAAAACACCATCACAACTTCAGGTATATATTCAAAAGCTATTATTCAAAACATTATTCATAACTCATCATGTCAGAAACGGGCAAAACAAATTAAAGCTTATATATTCTTATTTTTAATTAAGACATACTGTCACCTTGTGGGCTGCTTTATCGTTTCAGTATACACTGTCTGTGAGCACTGTAGTGAGTGATGCTGGGAAATTGAAATATAATTACAGTCATACAATGTTTATTAAATATATATATATATATGTATTTTTAACAGATATGATTATACTAGTTGGTTGTTTTTAAGATGCTTTTTGTATGTATGGTATACTTCGTACTATTTCCCAAAACAAGTGATACAAATGAACTTTTGTAAGTACAATAAGCCATGTTTACTATTGTAAGCATACTGTCTGCATCTGCATGTTATTCCAAATCATAATCCTTCATTAGGTTGTCATTACGTCTTAAGATATCTGTTTATTTATGTCTATCCCCTACCATAAATATAAAAGAGAAAAGTGAGGCACCTTTAAAGGATGCTTTAATAATACAGACTTGGCTTGCTGTCACTTCATTATAACCATGTGTAATCAAATTTGTCAAAAAATAATAAAAAATAATGCTTAGAGTGTGATAATACTAGCTTTTTTGTGGCGGTGCATCTGATCATTATTGACTTTACTTTAGACAATGTTTGTCAAATTGGACGATCTATATGAAATAGATTAAGATAAATATTCATGTTCTCTTGAGCCACTACTGCTACAACTTTTTTTTTTTAATGCTTTATTGGTAAGTTTAATTATTTTACTATTATTTGCTAAACAGTGGCCCCAAATCCAGCACAACCAGAAACAGCGATGGTGTCTCTGTTGCTCACCATGTTGTCATGTAACTCCAACATGACACTCCATCGTCTAACCATGACAACATGGTGAGCAACACAATGTTTTATCATTATTTTGTCAGTCAGAAGAATATATCTCCAGCATTCATGTCAGCCAGTCTTTTCACGCAAACCTGTGATTTGTGTGCTTGATAATAATGTCTGCACAGACACTTGAGTGCTTACAGTGAAACGGTTTTCTGAATGCACCAATAAATATAATGACAATGTGCATCAACCATAACTTATTTAGGCCTGTAATCTAATTCAAGGAACCAAGATGCAAAGCTTAGCAAGTAACAGTCTTGAGTCTTAAACATCTTTGGCGAGAAAGACAAACGAGACAAGATTTAGAATTTGATGCAGCTAACACATCTTGTGATTTTGTCCAGTTATTTTGCCTCTCTGTTTTCCCATGAAACAAGGTTGCATAAAGCCACTATAAACTGCCTCCCACAGGCAGGAAGCTACAGTGTGAACTGTGATCTAATTCAGTGTCTATGATGGCCTCGCCGCCCTCTCATCCCTGCAGCTGTTCAAATTAGGATTCAGTCAATGCGATTGTTAGTCACGAACCCACTAGAGAGAAACATGGGTGAGAGAGAGGTTGAGGTGGAAGGAGAGCGCAAAGAGCGACAGACACAGAGAGGCGGGGGAGGGCATGTGAGTGAGTCATACGGCCTTACTGGTCAAAGCTTCCCCTCCCTAAATGACTTTCCTGATTGATTACAGTAAGAGTTTCTACACGGTGAAGGCTTTAGTAGGTTGGAACACCATTGACAGTCTTAATGAAAACCAACTCCTTTGATTACTCAATCTTTTTTCTTCTTCCATGACGTGAAGAGGACACACCTGTACCTTTACCAACAAAAAAGGACTCGCTTAAACATGTACAATACATAAAACTAGCCCTGTGTTTCAAGGACATAAAGATTTAGAAGAAGATAAAAAAGGTTGTTTGGCCCAATACATAATATAACTGACTCATTCTATGTAACTAATACATGTTAACAATAAATACAATAATTTGAGCAAATCAGAATTTCTAATGGCCCATGTGATACATTTTTAGGTATAAAGTATTATGATTCATACAAATACTGACAATATAATATTCGTAACTTTTGATTAAAAGTAGAAATTCAATATTCACACATTTTGAGCTGCAGATATTTCAATTTTTATTGTGTTCTTTGAAAAATAGACATACTGTATATAGACATTGATATATATTTGTTCTTTATTCAATCCAACCTCCAATAAGTACAGTATACGTCTTTTATTTACTGGGAGAATCTACTTTTACATCAGGAGACACTTGAACTGGGAAACGGTCAGATTAAGGGCAGACGAATATCCATTGTGAATTTGGGATTGTAATGTAAAACTTAACTTTGTTCAATGTAAGGATAAAAAAAAAAAACTCACAATTTTACAACATGGAACTACAAGTCAGCACATTTCTTGATCATTTGATAACACTCTGACCACACTGGAGGTTTTGTTGATAACCGATTGTTTAACGGTTTGCTTTTTCTTCTTGTAGTGTAGGTTTGCAGCTTGACAGTGGTTGTGTAAATACTTGAACATGTCTTGATTATTAGTATATTGTTCTTCATAGTTTAAGCTTCATGTTTGTGTTGTATCCGAGACCAAATGTGTTGACATAACAGAATAGAGTGGATGTTGTGAGATAGTAAAAGGTCCATTTATATTAACATATGGTAACCAGCATAGCAAAAGCTCACATAACTTATATAATATATGTTTATAGTAGCAGTATATAACCATATATTATTTCACACAGTATGCATATGGCATGGAATTGAAGAGGAGGAATTGTTTGGAAAGACCTGCAGCACTGACGCACAGTAGGAGGCAAGTAGCTTGATGGCACTTGGACTGTGACTACCACAAAAACATTGTTCTAACCAAGTACAGTGAAAAAAAAATGACAGTACTGTATCTGTGTGCAATGAATTCAAAGCAAACAAAGAAGAAGCAACAACTAACATAAGAATGTAAAGTGGCAGGGTCACAAAATAAAAAAAAAAAAAAAAGAAAAAAAAAATATATATACGTATATATATATTAAAATACATATATAGACACATAGTTTTGAAAAGCAGCAAAACATGACTATAACAGCTCATTGTGCTTGTGAGTTAAAGTTACAGTGAGTAAAAGCGAGTGCCGATAAAAGTAAAAGAAATAAAAAAACTGCAAACCTGCTCGTTCTAAATTCTGTTTCTCATGTAGTATGCAACTACATATGCATCCAGTTAAAAGACAGCTTTGTTGATGCATACATACTGTAAGCTGTTCTGTAAGCTTCCTGCATAATGTAGTTTCAAGTTTTGTTTGTTAGCACATGAAGGCAGTTAGTGTGTTGAAAGCATCTGTGGATCCAGACAGACTGTAAACAACGAGCGCTGTCAAATTTGATGTAGCTGTTGTGATCTCACTGGAGAGCTTCATGTGCTCTCTTCATCCATCTTGTGGTGTAACATAATCTGTCACGTTGTTTGTTGGTGCGCCCTTGCTCTGTCTTCATTTCAACACGCAGCACCTGCACATCTTTTTTTTTTTTCTTTTTTTTTACCAACTGCGAACTGCAAAAAAATGTGCCTGCTGGAAGGATAGGTGTGTGTCTACATGCTTGGGTTTGTCACAGGGAGAGAAGGAAACAAATACAGGGTTAATGAAGTGTTTAGGAAAACAGTAAAAGATTGTAATTAAAGATAGAAGACGCCTCATTTGTATTTTTGATAAAAGTAATCTGCATGATTATGATTGTGTTAGTAAGTGACAGACTATGTTGTTCCGCATGTTAGGTCCGGTTCAATGTACCTCTCATCAGTCTGTCTGGTCTATTGATCGTGTCTGAAGATTCACTGAAGGAGACAAGGTCAGACGCCTAATAAGACAGAATAAATGTCAGTGTGAAATCTACCCTGAAGGTCTGTTTGAATCTGTGTTCATCTATAATCTGTTCTGATGATGTGTGAACTTCTAGCAAAGTAAGACTGCTCTTGGTTTGTTGCTGCATGTAAACAGAGCTTAAAAGAACTATTCAGCTACGGTATAGCACATGTACTCATATTGTCCATTTGTGGCAGCTCTCACTGAGTGGTGTAATGAAGTTGCGCTGCACATACATGTACACACAGTACACACAAAGTGTTCTGCACTCAGAAAATCTCATCCTCTGATGTCCTTTTAGACACTATAGGCAACGAGATAATGGTTGTTGTGTTCACTGCTGCTTGTGATCATTTTCTGGCAATGGGGGCCAATCACCAATAACTTCAAACAACACCGCATCTGCTGCTCTACAGCCTACAGCAGTAATACCATCCTCCTTTGCGAGTCCACTTGACAGAAGAATACTGAGCTGCGGTGTTGTCGTTCAGCTGCTGTGTTCTATTGATTTGTTTCTGTGGTTTGTTTTTCGGGGTAGGGCTCAAGACCTGCAGGCGCTTTGTCTGATCACTATGGTGTTCAAACACAAGGCTTAAACTTGTCTCAGCTATATTAACTATGCTCCTATATAACCCCAAAAGCAAGCTTAAATGTCAAACAGTAAATAAAGATGATGAACCAATACTATCAATCATGTAAGCTGACCTTTCAAAAGAGAAAATGCACACTTTGATCAACACACACACACACACTTCTTCACTTTATGCCTTCATCTGGTCTTCTGTCAGGTCTCCGACTTTGTGGCCACCGGCTGTATGTTCTGGACTTTGGAAAGTGTGACTGGCACCTTTCCCTCTCCGGGAGTCGGCGCTTTCAATATGGGGGTACCTGTGGAAAAAAGCAGCTCTGTTATGTTTGATATTCATAGAAAGCCCTTTGAGTACAGTAGGACAGTTAGCAATTACCCTTTTCACTATACTCTTTGGCATTTATGTTTTAACCTTCATACCATAATGGGTCGTAACAAGACAGCAGAGAGTGAAACCTCACCAACTGTTGCCTGCAGATCTGCCAACCTCTCCTTGAACTTCTGCTGCAGGTACAGTTCTTCTTTGGAGTAGCTTTTGGCGAAGGCAGACAGCAGGAGACCCACAGCCATGGAGGTGCCGCCCACACAGAACAACACAGCACCAGTCAGCTTACAAACATCCAATGCGCGGTTGAAACTTACAGCGTTGCTGTTCAAGAAAAAGACAATTAGTTAATTAAAAGGGTATAATATATACTTGTGCAAACAATAACTGTGACCCTTAGGAAGTCTACAGTTTCAAATGTCACAACTATAACAATATAATAACATACTGTATGTGCATTCCACTAAAACAAGGTGCTCTCCATTATGATCATAATGTGAAAATGCTGCACATATTGCAATTGTTAATGTTAAATACACAGAGTAGTAGAGTCTTACTCCCTGTATTGTTCCTATACAGTACCTGTCAACAAAAAGGAGGTCATCTTCGCCAAATGCTTCGATCCTGGCTGGAGTGGCATAACCCACCAAAACAACAATGAGACCCGCAAACAATATCAGGGATCCGAACGCGAGACAGACCTAACGGGGGGGAAGAATAACTTTTGCAATTACAGTATGACTACCCAAATAACATCAGGTGAGATGATGATTTGTGTTTGAGCATGAGGGTTAACCTCACCTTCCAGAGTAAAGAGCTCCACCTGCTAGGTGATCTCTGAATCTGAAAATCTTCATCACGTTCCCAGATAGAAGCTGTGCACTCCTCATAAAACTGGAGAAGAGATCAGAGAGAGATGTTCTACTTTACAAACATGGAATCTGAAACCCACGAGCAATCAAGATTTAAAAACCTCACATTTCAAAAAGAAAAAGTCTTTACAGTACAATATGAGACTGGGAAGACAAAGAGTTTGTGATAGAAGAGGAATGTTTAATATTTGTTGAGAGATGCACTATACTCTCGTGTGTGTGTGTGTGTGTGTGTGTGTGTTTGTGTGCGTGTGTGCGTGTGTGCGTGTGCGTGTGCGTGTGTGTGAGAGAGAGAGAGAGAGAGAGAGATATACCTGGTGCAGGTAGGAGCGGACTCCATACTGCTGGCAGTTCCCGCTGGCTTGAGCTTGGTCACTATACTCGGACCCACAGATCTCTGGGCAAGAAGTCATCCTTCACTTCTGCCTACCTGCTTGAGGACACACACACACACATGCATGACTGCACCCCTTGCTTTAAGAGCCCACCCACACGGTTTGTGGCCAAACTCTCTCCTACTTTTACCAATGCCTAAACATGCACGCACAGATATGCAGTGCATTAGTACATTCATAAACGCAAACATGTACCCTCACAGTGCCAGAAAGTTATGTAACACTGTGCTGAAAGCATGGGTGCCTCGGTACATTGAGATTAATGATGCATTCGCCATGAAATGTTGCATGACTCCTCCTTTTTAGATTCAATATAGTGTCGGCTGAAAACAGAGAGGGCTGACATGCACAGAATTAACCTTTTTTTTCTTTTCATATTGTGTAACATGTAATCATGCAACAATATGACACCGAAACCCTTTTTTTGTGTGCTGTGCATCAAACATTAAGCAATATGTTTAGTTTACAAGATTTCACAGATGATATAAATTACATAATGTTGACATTTATCATGATTATTTTCTTACAAGACAGATAATATCAAGTTCTGTAAAGATACAACTTTTAATGGATCAGTAATACGCAGTACAAAGAAACTTGCATCATGTGTTTTTACATTGTTCAACTGTTTTACATCAAGTGAATTCAGGGAATCTAGCACGCTATTTTATTTCAGCTTATATTACATATTATACCTGTTACCCTTTTCTTTCTGTTACTAAAAAATGATTGCATCCTGATCAAACAAATTATGTTAAAAGGCAGGAAAAGAGATGCTAGGAAATCGTATTTTGCACACAAATGCAATTCCCTCACTAACCATTTGAGATCTAGAGGCATTTCACAGCTCAGTGCCTCTGTACAAACTCACTTAACTATGTTTCAAGTTTCTGTCGGCTAGCACTAAATCATAACTGCTGCAGAATTGGGACTAAAACACTGATCCCAGTGTTGGCAACATTTCTTATCAATGCCAAAACAAGTAAAACAAAATGAAGACACATCCCAGAAACACATTTATTTACGATATGTTATGCTACAAAAGCAGCATGCTCTTATGATACGCGTGACAAATAGACAAAGAAAGTGCCCAAAACGAAAAAGCAATATTTCTAACTGACTTACTGGACTTTCTGGTTCATTATGGTAGGAATGTAAATCAACTTGTGGGTAATGTAATCTTTACTAAACTAGCAGTGGTTACACACCTCTGATTTAAAACATGAATGTTGTTGACTTAAATAGAGTTGGGAATACATTTGGAGTTGCATCTGCAGGCGCTTTCTAGCCTGAACAGTATTTGTGATATTTACTGATGCAAGCTGTGCAGTAATAATAAGGGAGGTGAGCACAAAAGAGCATCTTTGACCTCCGTCCTGTGTTGCCATCAATGTGATTACACAGCTCGTGTATAATCGGAAGACAGGCATTACTTTTAAAGGCATTAATACTAATGAATCATAACAGGCATCACTAGTGGCTTCCTTGTTTTTGCTGGCCTTTGATAGCTGACATTACAAAAAATCACAAGTTGCCATCAAAAAGCTTGACAATCTGTAAAGCATATAACCCTCTGTCCTAATACCCTTGATTTAGGATTGACCTATTTCATTACATTAATCAAATGTCCAACAACACACAGGTTTAATCTGCTTTTGTGAGTTGTTCTAAAATGTAAACATTTTGGGGGTTATACTATGAAGATGTTGGCTAGACACAGCAAATATGTTGTCATTCTATTCTACAGACTGTTTGTGTTATCTATACAAATAGATAATAGATGTTCAGAAATATGTGAGGTTGAGTGTGTCTCAATTCCACAAATTGCCAAACATTAGTTCACACAGTATATGGGAGGTGTCAGCGTTTCAGCCAGATGACATAATGTGAGTGTGATGAGTGGAATGCTGCATTAAGATAGGACACAGTGTTCCCTGGTACCTTGTGTTAATCGTATTACTGTTTAAGTTGTACCTGCTGAGGACTGTCATGAACATCTGGCGCTGCCCAGATGCTATGAACTCTTTATACCCATATCTGCATATTCAAGGAAGTTTAAATATTCATCATCAAGCCAAATAATGTAAAATGCAACATATGAGAATATGAGAGATTGTTGATTATGCACTTCTTGTTCCAGGGACTCCATTGAGCCTTAATGTATCCCCATTCAAACATTAGACTAGAGTAGGAAACATGTGTAATTAGGAATTTCATAAAAATAATTTGGAATTATAATATTATAATTAGCTATAACGTGTTTTTGAAACAACATAACATTTCTTTAGTGCTTGCAGATTTAATCAGTGACCTTGGCCAACGTAGTGGCCCAAACTGACAGATGAGATTATTTGATCGATTTAATGAGATGACTGCAATGTGATGTAGCCTACCAACTATGGCTAAATACAAACAACACCACCAAAACAAATAGTCAAAATGGCCCAATACTAAATTCAGATAAGCTAACAGGTCGCAGTTGTACAGTGCGTCTCTTGCAAGGCGATGTTCAGTGTTACACTGGTGCATCCTCTCGTATTTTTTTAATTTATTTTTTCTTCATCCACAACATACAAACTAAATACTTCTCGACCTACCTTGACCTACATCAAACTAGAGTCTTGCAAATAAAAGCAGAATACATCAATACAATGTAAATGGCCAATTCTAGCAGTAAACCAAGAACAAATTGTCCGGTGTACCGAGAGCTGACTGGTGCTGAATGCCATATTATTACCATCCTGCCCTCAGCCAAGCAGGACAACACACAGACGTCATATGTGACGCCAGTCTGAAAACAGACCTCATCCCAACCCCTCATGAGACAAAAATAGAAACCCAGCACGCGTTTCAATTAAACTTCGAAAGGCGGACTTAATTCGGTTCGTCTGACGTCTTACCACCTGAAAAAATATAATCTCTAAATATGATATCCGCAGGTACAATCTTTTAAGTTTTATTTCATCTGATTAGGAGAGCAACGCCCGAAACCCTCGTGGATTTAGAAACCAGCGAATAGGTGAAAGGTGACGACACAAAGTTTAAGAGAACATTTTCGAAATTGTTCCAACAATAACGCTACTTCCAGATGTGCTAGACGATATCGCGTGCAAGGATGACACTGAGTCTATGCAGGGAATATAATTTCCCGATATGTTATTTACAAAATCATCAATCCATCTGAGCCTCTCTAATTCCAGAAATATTTCTGAAAATCATTGAAATCGTCATTTACCTGTCATTAACAGCTCGGAGAGTGATCACTCGCTGCCGTTCCCTCAGCCGGGTCCCATCACTCTACAGTCAACTCTCTCTCTCTCTCTCTCTCTCTCTCTCCCTCCATCTCTCTCTCCATCGATGATTCAGATTTTTACGCTGTCTTGTGCGCATGCGTTACATCCATGACAACATGTGATTCAACAGCGAATATAAATAACCAGACAGGAGGGAGGACTGGCTGAACAGAAAAGACATTCATTCAAGATTAAACATTCAGGCCTATATGAATGAATTCATATTAGATGGATGGATGGATGTTTCTATAGGAACAGAGGGCAGAAACACTCATTGTTTCACAGGGGAGCTTGTCATAACAATGTCAGTTGAAAGTCAAAGACAGGCACAGGCCTACAAAATGTATTGGTCTCTATCATAATAACTACCGTTCCAATATGCATTCAACTTCACCCACATGTATACATGTTGGAATGTATAGATAATTAAAAAAAAGCTCAAAATACAGTAATTTGCATAGGCTCAATGGGATGTCATACATCAGAAACACAAATAAAAACCTAAGGGTGGAGGAAAGGCATTTGAGTCTTGCGTCAAAATCCATAGCAGGTACACAATAATGCAAAACCCACACACCCGTTTCTCAGAATTCCAGTCACATACAGTACAGTCTATTTTTAGTGCTGTCAATGACATTCACTGTTGAGGGAAGTATTAGTCACCGTCTCAGTGCTCTTCTCGAGGAAGGTACGACCTAAAGGGACGATCCACATCACGACTGACGTACAAAGCTCCTGTTCATAAAACACAAGAATGAGTCTGCTGTTGAGTCAAACTCACCACAGTGAAATAAAAATGTGTTTTACTTCTCAGGTTTGTTTAATGTGTGCCCTACAGTAATAACAGCATTTTCTTGGAAGTTCATTTCTTCTAAACACTTAAAGTGGACAACAAACATTGGGTACATAGAATGCAGTGTAGAATGAACCTTTGATTATGTCTATGACCTTGCACACTGTGCACAGTTGGGTAGTTTGAAATGGCCAAATGGGGAAGTGGGAATCCCACTATCATTTCTGATTTTCCGAAAGAAACCTTCCGTACAAAAACACATTGTGGAACAAATGGAAGTAGTGCTAGCCCTAAAGAAAGATCTCTGTGATTTTGACTAAGTGGCAGCTAAAATTAGTAAATCCTACTCGCACCTCTGCAACATCAATCAACATTTATTAATTGTCAAAGGCTGTAAATGGAGAGATTTTATTAGCCACACTGGATTACAGATCTGGTTCTCACAATTTAGACTCAGGAGGCATTAAGTTAGTCTTTATTGGTCGAAAGGCAGAATTTCAGTCATCTTCTCAGGCAAACAATATTCAGGGGGCTAACCTAGACAGGTACTGTAAACGAGAAGAAAGGCCGGACCACTGAGCCAACAATTTGGCAAAAAACTGACTGATTGACAATAAGGAGCCTGGTGGACAGGTGATGGGTCAGATGTTCAGCTGAGGCAAGAAACTCAAAACATACAGCTCAGCGGCAGGTGTGGAATAACACGCCTCTGTTAGGTTAGTGTGCACACATTAGCTGAACTAGAGGCAGCCAAGGAGGATGAGAGGATGGGAGCAGCGGTCACCGTGACGGTTATCTTGGAGATATTTTTAAGGCGAAGAGATGCTGCTTTGTCACAAAGATGAGGATGTGTTGTTTTGTCCTGTAAATGAGTTCAGTTCAGTTCACCTGACAGGTGTCACTTAATTCATGAAAATGAACTCCTGGTATTAAGGTCTATTCAGTTATATTACATCTTCATTTTGTGTTGCTTTAGAAAGTTGTTTGACATAATAATTGATAAAATAATTACATATTTTTTACATAACAAAGATAAGTATGATTTTAAAGATACGTATGGGTCTTCAATGATAAGACATGATTTCTTTTTTTAGATGTAAAAATGGCATTGCATCTCACCTTATTTGCAATTACTTGAGTGGGTCCAACACATTTGTTGTACTGCCCATGAATCACATGCAAATGATGACATATGTGAAGGACTGGAGACCCATCTAAGGGGTGTGTCTGCCTTTTGTCTGATGTATGTTTTCATAGGCATCAGCCATCCTGAATACCGCAAAAAAAAAAAGGACAATAACAGTAAACACATTAACTGAAAAGCAGCCCCATGTCTCTCATTTTGTAAATCAGAATACGGCTGTTTGACACAACAGCCGTGATCATCTTTCAAAGCTCTTGTTTGTTTTTGCATCTTGAGTGTTTCATAGTGTATTTTTAGACATCCCAGAATACCTCTCACAGCATCCACTTGCTACAATTGCAGATACGTTGCAATCATTTCTGTGTCTAATCACACAAAGTGCTCGCTCACACTCATCCCATACACATACAGTGGAGAATATCTTTCTCTGAGGCTCTATCGGCTTACCTTTTGGAGTTATTTGTGTTATTTTCTTGCCAAATCCACTTATAAACATGTTTAAATCAGCTCACGCAGTAGTGACTGTGTTTGTGAGAGCTGCTTTCAGGTCAAATTAAGTAATGGATAGTCCAATTTATAAAATATATTAGGTGACAAAAAGTACAGTACGAGAAATTGAAGCATTGAACCTGTATGTTTAAAAATAGGTGAGTTCATCTTATTCATTATTGGTTAACAAAATAATCTGTCCTGTTACATCATACATAGATTTGAGTATGTGCTATATCACATTGCAGCACATTAATGTCCTTTTGTTGGGAAGAAAACATTCTGTCATCTCTCTCGCTTCCTCTCTGACTCTGTGTACAAGCCGAGCATCTCAGAGCGGAGAGAGGAGGTTTCTATGGCGACGTGAAAAGGTCACCTTCAGGAAGTTCTCTGTGAGCGTGTGCAGAATGCCAGTTGGATAATCAGGCTTCCTGTAATGACTGATAAGAGACCACAGCTCATTAGAGAGAAAGAGAGAGATCGGGTGGGGTGGGATTGCGGGGATTTTTAGTCATTGAGAAAAGAAACAATAGAACATTTATTCCAAAGGTATTCCACACTTTTATTGTGAAATACAGTGCACACTTAATTCCTACATAGCATAAAGTGATACAAAAAAGCAGAAATAGTAGCAGCCAAGCAGACATGACTCTGGGCTAAGCTAATTGTCTACTGTCCCCTCTAATTGTCGATACTGTATGTAGCTAACTTGGGTGCTACTAACATGAAAGAAACAAAAGACACATTGATCTGCTAAAATGTCTGTAGAGTAGGCCGTACATGCCTGGTTGGCAGATCGTCTAGATAGAAACAAGATGACTTAACTACCATGTAGGTCGGACAATGCTACCTGGCTGCCTGGCGGGACAGTGAGACCTACATTAGCAGCAATGCTGCAGCTACATTGCTACATGAGACATTTCTTTTGGATAGCGGTATGACAAGAACTGATTAGAAAGGCAATAATAATCATAACAGGCAGCAGTAACCTGCTTAGAACAGTAAAATAACGATTATAATGAATTCAAGTTGTGAATCAATAAATCAAGTTATTTTGCCCACCCCTATGTGAATAAAAATATATATATTATTATATATATAATCTATATAAACAATTACTAAGAAGAAGTGTAACCTTGTCTTCCACAGAAAACAGAGATAAAATATGTTTTTCAGCACTACTCTGGAACGGGTTTAAGCCACCTTGTAGTCATTAGTTTTCTCTTATTATTTGCTGTAGGCGACCTTTTTGAATTAAGTAGGGCCATGTTTCTTTTAAGTGTGTGTGATTTATGTTACTCTCTCATGCATTACTTCACCCATGACTTCACCCCTTGCATGCTAGATTACCTGTAGCCCGAAATACACACAAGACAGCCACATTTGTGTCTCCCTCCTTCATGTATATCTTCATATGCGTCTTTTTGCTATTGGAAAATTGGAAAAATTAAACATTTCAAACATTGCTTCATTTATTATGGATAATCTGTACGTCTTTGCAGGTGCTGTACATTTCAGAAATCCAAATTGGCACGGGAAAATAAAAACACCAAAAATCTTTAGCAACCACGAGTCTGATTTAGTGGACAATATATAATCAAAGACAGTAAATGGGGTGGGTTCTTTACCATTGGTCAAATTGTGTCCCTGTTACTCTGTACCGTTTGTTGTTATGATGTGTTCTCTGGTAATCTATCCAATAGGTACACTATTATGATGGTGGGAATCTTGCTATGAATGAGATTATCTGATAGACCATTCAAGCGATTTAACACAGCACATCATTTTCTATTTAACTACAACTGTAAACTGCAGCACTCTAGTCAGTAATTACTTTGAACCAACAAGGCTGACATCTACTGGGCATAAGGGCCTCTGCATCAACAGTGAATAAATACTGTGCAAAAAGGGAAGTAGTTTCACCTTCAGTATTCAGTACTATCTATTTTTTGCCTCATAATGATACATTACGTCACAAATGTTTGATTTATAGGCTTGTTAGCTTATTCGGTTGTGTGTACTGTTTGCTGGTCTTTTAATAACTTCTAAACTATGTTGGTATACTTTTCATGACTCAATTCGTCAAACACCCTTGTGCAAGGTGTGTTTGACAGTCAACAATAACTGGAGCTTTTGTCCTATGTTAAAACTAGTGCAATAGCTATTTCAGATGTTATTTGATTTATTTGACATGGTTTATTTTCATTCAAATTATAATGAGAATATAAGACAATGACTTTCTATCAAATTTGTACTCCGATTTAAGCATACATGAATTGAGCTGACTTGCATTAGCCCTCCCCACCTCTCTATATTTTATGATAGATGAGAGGGAGGGACACCTGATCTATCCATCTCAGGAACCTTAGCCTTGGTGTTGTTGTCCATTCTTCATGGTATTGATTCCTCTGTCATTCTGCCATACCAGGGCTGGAAGCTCGGACTTTCCACTTGGGCCTTGCTGTATTTCATAAACTATTGACTGGACGGGCCAAAACAGGTTTTGCTCTGATGGAAGGGATCTTTCTCTGTGGGACAAAGCTGTCAAAGTTATAGCTATACAGACATTGTGGCAATATTTATGCAGCCTCAAAGAATGGTGGTACATGTGAG